CTCGTACAGTGGTATTTATCAATCTATGTTGTTTTGGTGTGAGTTTGAGATAATGGCCAGTAGAAACCTCTGATTTCTCACCAATATTATGGAACAAAATTGTACCTCACTCGTGGAGATAAGACTGCCAAATAACTACATTGGAAAAACTCGACAGCAAATATCTTTGTCAAGAAATCATGATTTGCTTCATCAAGATAATCAGCAGATCTTATTATGAGCACTTTCATTACAGAACTAATTTATTTTTGCTTTATCACCTTGCAGAGGAAAGCGTGCATAAACAAGGATGCCATTATTGTTTACGTCTCGCACTCTCACAAGCAATAGCCTCTCGCCCATAAGAAGATGAACGCCACTCTCTAAAAGAAAAATAGTCCCTACATGAAACTGCTCACAACAAGGTGTGTGGATTATCCTGAGAAGCCAAGTTGTGAGTTTTTCAAATGTATACCGCAAACTGAAGACCCACCTGTTTCGCTTATACCTAAATAAAAAAACACACTTTCGAGTTTTACTTATGCGACAGCACTTCCAATGATATTGCTTATTTGAAGTAAACATGTCAGCACTGTTCTTGTTGTCCTTAGTTTGAATCTTTATGGTTTATTGCACTTATTGTAAGTCGCTTTGGATAAAAGCGTCAGCTAAATGCTATGTAATGTCATGTAATGTCATGTATATTTTTGAAGGTATGAGGGAGACAGACCACTCTAAGGCCAATATCTCCAACTCTCAGCAACTCCTAACAAAACAATCTATATTGATGAATAGCACTCTACAGGTAAGACGAAGAATATTTATATTTGATATTGGGGTAAACTGTCCCTTTAGTAGTGCAACCTGATCACTTATGCATGATAAGAGGGTGACTTTCTGTGACCAACCCTTTAAAAACGTATTACATGACACCTCAGCTCCTCAGTAGCATCTTACAGCTCGTTCTTGTAATTAACTAGAAACTCTAAATGTCTGGTTCATCCTCATTGCTCTCAAATCAGCTTGCATCAGGCAGCTGCTACACACTACCTGCTCAGCGCCAAATGAAAGACAGACAAATTAGCGAGTAGCTGGTCAACCCAGTGGAGCATTTAGCAGCTAAAGAGACAAATATTTCCCTCAGGAGTTGGTAAAAACCAATACCAGAGCTGAAAGGAAAATTAATACTGGACTTATTAGTTTAGGTGGGGACAAACATGATTCCAAATCGATGCTAATGTTAGTACACATCGGCTGGATGTGTATATAAGCAACGGTTTGCCAAAATATCAACTTGATAGTGATAAAATCTCAGAATTGTGTTCACAGCTGGTTTCTACTGCTCCCAAGTGGCTTAAAATCAGTTAATGCCTGTTTTACAGACACTGCACTAATAATGTGTGACATCTGGTGTTATTGCTGTTAATTAAATGATTGCCATAATTAACTTGCTACTGACCTGCAGATGGCTAGAGCGTTTGAATGCTTTGCCGCACTGCTGGCAGACGTGAGGCTTCTTCTGCGAGTGCGTGATGGCGTGGCGCTCAAGGTCAGAGAGGTAAAAGAAGACCCGCGGGCACAGCTGGCAGTACAGCACCCTGCGGGCGCCCATGTCGTCCTGGGACCCCTCGGGAGAGAGAGGATCCAGAGGGTCGAGGGGGTCCAGATTATCAGAGGAGAGAATGGGTCCAATGGGAGGGGAGGGAGGAGCAGCGCTGGAGAAGTAAAGATGGTCGTCCAGAGGTAAATGTTCTGAGTGCAGGTCAGAGGGGTCAAACCTGGACTCTGAGGCTGGAGATTGGGCCTCAGAGCTGGGCTGAGCTAAGGGGACATAGGTCAAACTAGCAGACTGTGGGTGAGGAGAGGATGCTGCAAAAGTTGATGGCTTGTGGATTTCACTTGAGACTTCTTCAGAGGATATGGCTTCGCTTCCAGGGTTGGAATCGGAAGAGCTGATTTGAGAGTGAAGGGTGAGGCGGTCGTTTTGAAGAGAGGGAGAAGGGACAGAGAGGGAGGCGAGGACAGAGGTAACGTTGGGCGCTCCTGATAGGATGGCAGGGGGGTGGTTGGGGCTCAGTCTGATGACAGGGTGGGACAGCATGGGCAGAGCGGAGGGCAAAGGGAGCGAGACGGGGGCTGAGGCCGCGGTGATCTGGGACAACTGGCCCGTGTAGGGGTCCAGGACAGCGATAGGGGTGGAGGTAAGGTCACCAGAGGAAGAGGGTACAGATGACAGGAGAAGGAACATGGGGGTGGAAGCACCGGGGGTGGTCTGAGTAACTGAAAGTGGAAGAGAGAGACCCACCTGAGCGGAGGAAGAGGAGGACACGAGGAGGATAGGAGCGTTAGTAGAAGGATTGGTGAGGATCTGAAGGGGCTGGGGGGGGATTGATATAACAATATTAGCCTCCTGAACAGATTTAACGCTTGGCTCCGCTGCATTACAGGAATCCGAGTTTGTAATCAAACGTGGAAAGACTTCTGAAGTCTGATCGACACTTAGTGATGTAGAACCAGGGGCTGGAGAGGTGTGAAGATGATCAGAAGGTGCGTTTAGTGCATTATTTACACTTTGGCTGAGGCTAGGATTCGCTAATGTGGCCAATAGTGGTGACCCCATTCCCTCTGCCTGATCCTCTGACTCGGACGCATCGACCTGCGGCACTTTGAGCCCGTCCGGACTGAGCGTGTACGGGATTCCCAGGTCGTCTATGAGAAGGAGGTTTTCAGTGTCTATCGAGGAGAGGGAGGTGAAGACAGAGGAAGAGAAGAAAGAGGGAGACAGGAGAGAGTCGTCCAGTGTATCTGTTGCGTCCATACGAAGCGCAGAGCACTCAACATCCTCATCCTCTTCTACTATGTCTCTGTCTCCTTCTCCCTCATATTCATCCACCTCCATGATCAACGAGCTCTCGCAGCCGGAGTCATCCAGGAAGCGTTCGCAACTTCTCTCTCTTTTATTCGGCAGACTCAGGTCCAGTGGTTCTGTCTGTTCCTCCGTTCCCACCTCATTTAACGTATTACACAACTTTAAATCAATTTCTTGCAACACTAGAGGAATACCTTCCTCAATTTCTCTCTCTGTAGTTTCTTCTTTTATTCCTTTCAGGCTCAATATTTTAATTGGGTCAGAGCTTGAGATTAAGGGAGTCTCAGACCCATCAGCGTGAATGATTTTAACACCCCAAACATGTCTCTCTTTGCAGATTCTTTCCCCTTTCTCTGCCTCTGTGTCATGGAATGATTTTGGCTTAGCTTCCTCAGTTTCATGATTAATAACTTCCTTGATTTCTCCATCATTCTTAACAGCAGATATCAGGATTTTACATCTGCTTTTTTCTGCTCCAACTGAAATAGAAACAGGTCGTCTTAAATGTGAGCGAGCAAAGTCTTTGGTAAGGCTGATGGCAGAGTTTGTGATTGGCCTCTTGCACCGTGGGGGAACAACAATTTTGATTCTGATTGGTTGGCTGCCCAACACAGGCACTCCAGTCTTCACTGTGATTGGATGTCTGAACCCACCACTCTTCCTTGTTTCCTGAGAGGCTGGCTTAGAAGTCCCGCCCACCTCTGGCTTATTCCCATTGATTGATGGAGCATCCTGCCTGGTGGTCACTGCTGCTCTGACAGGGCATGGCTTGGGGTTACCTGGTACAGTGGAGGAGGTCTTTATTTCTTTTGGGTCCACACACACCTCTGGCCCTGATCCCTCTGCACACTGGCTGCCATTTTGGACATCCAGGCTGCCACTGGTCAGGACTGAAGCCAACTGAGAATCCATTTTGGGGCATACCCATTTATATTTCTAAAAATAGGAAAAACAAAATAAATTACTAATTAAAATGGGGTAAATTAGAACAGCAATAAGCACATTTCATGGTAGCAAAGGAACAGAACTAAATCAATATCCTGGGATGGATGAAAAAACTCTCAGTCTTAGTAGTGATTATTGGGGTCAAGTTTGCAACATCTAATCATCACTGATGTTGTGATATTACCAACAGCCTGCTGATCAGACTGAGCACCTTTACTCCTTAGTCCGAAATGATGAGCGTCTCATCTGACCCATCCTCCCTCTTTAACATCACACTGTGCTGATATGTGGTTAACTTGCATGATCCGAAATTATAGCTCAGCGGATTTCTCACCGAGGGTTCGCCGATCATTCAGAGAAACGCACCGGAGCACAGCTGGGTCCGACTGCTGTGAGCGAAATAACCCTTCCCCTTTCTCATACTTCTACCATGCAACATAAATAATACAACGTTTCATGTAGCTTTGGCACATAATCATATTATTTTTGATTAAAAAATACAAGCCTGTTGTCAGGGGGTAAACCGAGGAGCACTCTACGTGGAGGACGCCATTACGCACAGTCCTAGGTCCGAAATGCCAATATTATTATGATGCGTGTGACAGCTCTCGGACCTGGGACAACGCCACCGCTAACACGTCGCTCCGAGTGGAGAAACGGGAATATTTACTGACACTCGCAGTGAGGAGAGGATCCTTCCCTTTGCTCCGGAGCTTCCTCGGACCTACAGCCAGCCATTTTAGAGCCGAGGGTCCGAGACACCGAGAGCGCAACCCGGCAGCTTGAGGACAAACTTTCCCGGCGCTGTCATTGATTCCAGCCCTGCTGTCAGAGCCGGACGCGCTTTCGGTACATTTAAAAACTGTATTTTAAACTATACTCCACCCATACACTCGCTGCATAGGGACTGGCTTACCCGTGCTGTGGATATTTCCGGAGGACCAAATATGACTGTGCAGTGTAAAGGGTGATGCTGCGAATGCCGAGGGAGGGAGGGGTCAAGGGGAGTTGCTATGGTGTCGCAGCCTACCGGGTCCGACCAGTAGCCATGTTCAGCCTATGAGTACTGTTGAACCTGCAGCCTGCACACACAGCCTCTCTGTGCGCCTGAGAGACACAGCGACGGGAGGCAAAGCACATGAGGAGGATGGAAAAGCATTTAATTGAAATCATACAGTACTTTATGTGAAGCAATACAGAGATCAAACCAGTTTGACATTACTTTATTTCACATCATCAAAAACTTACAAGCCTTAAGACTTGATGCGTCAGGTTCAAGAGAGAATAAGGATCACACAGTGAGATATCACAGAGTCAGGACATTATGAGTTCGGCTACATGAAGGTATCATCACAGGCTTAACTGATATTACTGCATTTTATACACAGCCTCCATGGTCTGCATCTACAGTATCTGCTCAAGCTGGAGGAGGAATACTAATGCTTGAGAGGTTAGCAGATTATAATTAAGCCAGCAGTTTGATAGTATTTAGAAAAGAGGCAGCACATCACAATGTTAGCATAGATATTAATGCAAAGTTGCAGAGTGAAGAGGGGCTGCTGTGGGTGGAGGTGTGTGTCATAGTGAGACACAGGGTCATGAGAGATGGGTGGGTCGAGGTCATCACTCCACATCATCAGTTTCACAAGCTTCAATCTCTGAGACCAGCCGGTGAGGGAAGAGTTTAAACTGCAACCATGTGGGCTCTGAAAAACAAAGAGAAGGGGCATGAATATTGAAAACCTGGCAACAATGTGTATCAATCCCTCTCAGGTTCTTGAGACTGACAGATACAGATAAGAAAAAGGACAGTCTGTATGGATGGTCGGAGGTTTACCAAGGTAGCAGGCAGGTGGCTGCAGCTTCCCATCGAAGCAGGTCTGGGTTGCAGAGAAGCCGCATGGCTTACGGGGGTGTTTGCAGAAGAACGTCACATTTTCCCTGTGAGGAACCACGGCGTCTGTCACGTCAAACGGCCAGCGCTTCATTCCACCAATCATCACACGGCTCCGCTCAGCAGGGATGAGACATCGAGCTGGGAAAAACATCAAGAAGGTCTGCTTTTGTTTGCTTAAATACGTATTATTTCACCTGATCTTCAAACCATTTAAACATCCCTTACCTCTGCAGAATGGGGGTGATGCACTCCAGCTGCCATTGGATAGGCAGGTGACTTTCTGGGGTCCATCCAGCTGGAAGTTCTTTTTACACAGGTAGTGGATGTCAAAGCCAGCTTCATATTCAGTCTTCTGGACAGCCACCACGTAGCCCTGCTCCACCTCTGGAGGAGGCTGGCAGTACACCTCTAAGAGAGCAAGAGAGAAGCAGGCTATTAGAGTACTGGAAAGGGACAGGAAATATTACCAGGAGGTGATATCAAGAAAAAGCAACAGGGAAAGAATCATAAAATGAAGTTAATATAATCAAGTATCTTTAAAACAGATAGATAAGATATCCTGTTGAATGTTTTAAAGTGAAACTGAAGGCCTGAAACTGCAACAGTGCATGCCTTTTCTTTCAACAACAGGCCATGCAATACCAGGCTTGGTCACAAGATGGCAGAAAAGCACTGCGAAACGTAGCATTTGAATGATGAATACATGACGAGGTTTGACTGTCTTCTTCTTTAATTCACTAGTTTTCTACATATATGCACACACACATGAACACATTGACACAACCGATAAATAACCATCTGTACAAAATAGTCCCTTCACATTAACGTTCATTCATTCTTCTCCTGCTAACGTTGAAAGATGCATGAGAACTGACTGTAAAGCCACACACATGCCGTGACACAGTGCACTTACTTTTACAGATGGGGTGAGGGTACTGCCATGTCTGATTATCCTGACAGAAATTCTCACTGCTCCCCACAATATCCGCCCTGCAGGAGAGAAAGGGAGAGAGTGATGGAGACAGATGGCAGTGTGTCATGTACACAGTATTGACAGCTAAAGAGCTACGTCTGAATAAAAGTGTTAGAAGAAGGTGTAAATTATTTCCTTTTTACACTCAGTCTCTCTCTTTCAGAGTGTCTGAATTTTGTGTGCACAGTTCTGGCTGACACAGACACTTGGACTCGTCTTATCCTGTGGATGAGTCAGTGTGTAAAGGGAAGTCAATACAAGATTAGACTGTAATGACCTAGTTAGTTCAATGGAGAAAGCGTCAGCTGGCAGATCAAGATGAATTCCCTGCCATTCATCACTCATCACCCGTCGTTCCCCAACACCTCTCCCACAGTGCGGGACAATAACTAAGTACATTTACTCAGTACACTTCCATTTCGAGCTACTTTATCCTTTAACTCCACTTCAAATCAGATATAGAGGCAAATATTGTACTACTTGCTTCACTACATGTATCTGACTATTAAAGTTATAAGTTACATTTCCAATTTTACATAAGAAATACATATAATACACATATAAAATGTAAAAAGTGATCAATTATTATTATTATATATGATTTTTTTGTTTCAGATGTCTGAGTTGTTGAGTATGAGACAGACGAAAGAGACATTTCCCTTCTAAACTTCCTACATAATACATACATAGTTTGAATTAGCCCCAAAGAGGTAAATACTTACAAAATGTCCCAAGAATAAGTACAGATTTATGCAGCTTCTGTTCTGCACCATAAATAATCACACAACTCCTCACATATATCTTGTGACCATTAGGTAAATTGGACCTATACTGTATTTGTAATATTCAAAAGTAACCAGATAAAACGCTATTTTATTTACGTTATTTTACTGCAGAAAGACTACTCTGGGTACATTTAGCCCATAATAATTTACTCGAGTAAAAGGATCTGAATAGTTTTTTATATCACAGCTCTCCTGTGATTAAGTCTTTCCTCCCTCTTCTTCACACTCCATCCCCGTCTTCTCACTTCCTCCATTTCTACCTTAGTGTCCTTTCAGGTTTTCATAGCTCCAGCCTACACACTCACAACCCTAACCTCCCATCACCCCCCTTCTCTCACCCAGACAGGCAGCTGTAGCGGATGGAGGTTCCTGCCGTAGCGTCTCCCTGGATGCTGAAGGTGTTGACGACCTCCTCAGGTAGAGGGCAGGTTTGAGCCGCGGCGGATTGTTCAGGCAAGTTAGTCTCTGAAGGTCAAAGAAGAACAGAAGGTTGTAGGAATTGGTCCTTTTCTCACAGTTATTCAAACAAGACTGCAATCAGACACTTTTACATAATATTTACGTGTGAAAAATGTCATTGCCTCATGGTGGAATGTGCCTCAGTACATTTAGTAAAATACTACAATTAAGTACAATTGTGAGGGGCATCCTTATTCTTATACATTTCCCCCACTTCTCCTACAGCTCAGTTACAATAACTGTACTTTTTACCACACATTGGAAGTAACTTTGCAGATTAAGATTGTAAACACAAAATATATGAGTTTATAACATCTTGCAGGTACTGCAGTGAAATGCTGCTTGGGCACTAATGTAGCAATAATAAGTATTGCAATAATATAACTTAGGTAACAATTGTATGTATCATTCAAGTAGATATAGGTAGAAATTGGGACATTTTCACTTTATATTATCATTCATTCTTTTTCCGTTTGTACACTAGCATCAACTAATGGGTGCCGATGAGAGTTTTAGCTGTTGACACTATCTTAGTCATAGAGGAGTACATTACATGTCCACTTTTACTAAGTGAGGAATCTAATTACTTCAAACTATTTCCTATGGTGACAATGTTTTATGTGAACCTCATCAGAGAGAAATGCAGCAACACTCAGTGTGCATCTAATGTGCATCTGTGATTCAAATATTAAACAGAATTGAATGTATGTCCATTGTAACCAACACAAACACATCACACACATTACAATTAGTGCGTAAGTGATGTGGTTTTGCAGGTTGCAAGTAGCAGCATAGAAGGAAAGAAATAGGGAATAGAACAAGATGGCCAGAGGAAGGATTCCTGCTACCTCATTTGACTTGTATTAAACAGGGTTCCTATATAGTGTGTGACCCACAGAGGCGTTTCACTCGATGTCTTGTTCTATTTAAGTTGTGATAAACATTCTTATGTAATAAATCAAAGTTGGAGCAGGTGAAATGCAGCCCCACACCTATCGGAGCTCACAGCTATATCTCTGTGATTGTATAACACCTGGCACTGCTCATTCCTGGAAGTTTGAGTGCTCACGCTCGTGAAAATATAAATATCAAGAGTGGTGCTTGGAGAGAGGCTGGAGCGACCCGGGCTCCATCAAGCGCAGGGTTTTTGTTGCTCAACACGGCTTTGAAAGGCAGAGACAGCTCTTGCCTGAGGGATGTCTTAGGTATCTGAAACCGAGAAACGTTAATATAAGAATGTAAAGGTACCTATGGGAGAGGGAGAGTTATGAGTCTGTTTGGCTGCGGATGAGAGCCCGAAGCTGAGTTCTGTTTTCACATATCGCCCTTCTCCTGCCTCTCTACTGCTGCCACCCACACAAGCTGCTGCACCAAACGGCTATGAAGCAGGTATATCAAATTCTTCTCAAATTACAAAACAGTGATTTTGAACATGCACAAGAATCTGATTGAGACCAAAGATGTAAAAAGGGTTTTGTTTTTCTCTCACAAACAGATGCATGCACGAACCACTAACTAAATAGCCTAGAGCTGCATGCATGTCCTTGGCTCCCATTGTAGAGAGAGACCTTATCAGAGGCCTCAGATGGAACAGGATGAGAGGAGAAAGAGATGAGAGGAAAAGAGGATGAGAGCAGAGGAGAGGAGAGCAGGGAACAGAAAGGCCTGGAGCAGCATGAGCAAGAGAGCTCTCTGACTCTCCTGACTGTGATCTGTCGCCCACACACACACACACACACACACACACACACACACACACACACACGCAAACACACACACATAGAAACTCTCCAACACATGTGCAGTCCGCCCCCATACACGTACACATCTAATGTATACAGAAAAAAAGCTACCTCTCTACTCTACCTTCCTCCCATAGACACGCACACACATACACACTCTGTTGATGCACATTCACACCCGCACATACTCACACTGTGTGTATGCAGCTCTGTGCCACTTTGACAGTGATCTGCCGCCCACTGCCTCTCAACAGGCATGAAGGAGCTCGACTCACACTCTAACACACATGCAAAGGACACACACAATACAAACGCTCTCACACGTTCAAAACCCACCTACCTTCTGCCTGTCTCTCGGCAGTAGGATACTCTACGAGAGAGAGGGAGCTGAGAATCATATCCTTATTTCACATCTTTGAAAATATAAAAAATCTTGTAGGGTGAGACTGAGTCCAGCTGGGTTGAGGATTCCTGAGAAAGCGTGTTTACTGTAGCTCTATGGTGTGTGATTAATGCAGGACTCAGAGCTTTAAAGATGATTTTGCTGTCAAGTCGACACAAGCATTAAGCAAAAGGCATATTTCCAGGTGCTGTGTGTTGATGAGAAGTGTCGAGATACTGATGGCTTTACATCATGTACCGCTGTGCAGCCTTACGGCGCAGCGGTAGAAGTAATAAGGCTGCACAGCAGTAAGACAATCTTTGCCTTTTGTGAGCCACTTATTCATTTTAAAATCCTATATTTAAACGGACAGAAAGTTAAACATGATTATCTCTGGGCTCGGCGGTACTATGGTTGTAGATTAACCTGTAAACACTGGAGTCTTTTGGGTTCTTTGTCAGCTTCCTCTGCCTTTTTTCAAATGTGTTGACAGCTTTGTTTTGGCCCCTGTGGCTTACATACAGCAGGTGTGACGTAAAGCAGACCCAGTAGCGTTTCAGTTTGAGTGCAGATGATCTCTACTACACACAAGTAGGACATGCTGTACCATTAATGGAGCTTATAATGTATTCATAATGGCAGACTATTATTCAAACATTGTTCAAATAGTTGTGATTCATCTTGAATTCATCTCTTGTCATTTTTGGTTTTGGTTATTGCTTCATCCTGTGTCATATAGTATATTTATTGTAGTATTTTGCTCAAAATACCTTACAATCAAATGTTGTCCATGAGTGGAATATATTATATAACACCACAAACTGTGTAAATATAATTTAAAGAGGCCCTATTATGCTTAGTTTTTTTCTCTGTAGTGTGCTATATAGGTTTCTCTTCTGTGCTGAATGTGTGTGCTGTGGTGCACGAACAACACACTGTAAATATATATATATATGTGCATCCATGCGTCATGCGAACACACACACATTCACACACACATTCTCCACCCCCCCCACACACACACACTTTTCAAACTTATTAACAGTTCAACAGTTAAATCTTCCGTCAGCCAATATGAACAACTAAGGCTGTGGTTGCTATGGTGATGAGGAGAATAGGTCCCAGTTGTGTAATGTCTCAGTCGACACGACCAGAGACGTTTCTTTCCTGAATCTCTCTCTCTTCTCTCTCCCTTTCTCTATCTATTTTATGGCCTTGCATGAAAACAAAATCCCAATAAAAGCTTCATTCAGAGCTTGACCACATAATGGGCCTGAACTCATTCACCACAAACACACAGTGTACCTGCTGCCTCGGTCAAATATCAGACACAATATTACATAAAAGAAAGTAACACATCGCACAGCATCTCTCTCCCAGAGGTTCATTACCTGTGTTTACATTCCTGACATGAAATAAGAAAGAACATTTTTCTGCTGAACTCAAAAACCCACCTGAGCAGATGGGCTCATCACCGCTCCACTGTCGGTCACCCTGGCAACGGCGAATAGTGGCATCCAAGCCAGTGGGCAAAGTGAATCCAGACTTGCAGCGCACCTCGAGCAGGGCGGAGAAGGAGTGGGTGGGAGAGAGGAGGCGAGCCTCTGAGGTCTCACTGGGGGACAGAGGCCAGGGACACGTTCGCCCTGAGGAGAACACAGAGAAACCTCAGAACGTCATGCATTGTTTCTTAGTCAAGACAAATGAAACAGCCCTAAACCAGTTTAAGTGGACCTAATGGGGTTGTATAACCAGCCTGGATGTGTTTACAATGCCCTCTTTTACAACACACAAGCATTATAAAAAGGGTGTGTTCAGCACTGACACAGGGTACATTTTGAGCCCAGATTCTGAGCACAACCAAGGTCTTTTGATTTCCAGGAAACACACAAACACAGATGTGTGCTGGCACAGCTGCATATGCATATGCAAACACACACACACACACACACACACACACACACACACACCGTTTATGACTCATACCACAATAGTGTTCAGTTTGACAACTAAGGGCATGCAAATGGTTACCTGGAGCCACACAGCTGAGCCCACACTGGCCATCACACAGACACTGGCGCTTGTTGCCACAGTCCGTGTCAGTCTTGCAGGGCCGAGGACACGTCCTCCTCCGCTCCTCTCCCAGAAGTCTCTCCGGACACGACCCTGTTGTGATACCAAACACACTTTATCACACCATCAAAGTAATTCCCCCCCCTTTGTTTGTTTGCTTCTATTGCCCTCAGGGGTCCCTCGTAAAAAATGCGTAAGCTCAGGGTCGTAAGGACAATTTGTTTGCCAATTCTGCTTTGTTTTTTTGTTTGAAGGAAACTAAAGTCAGTGTGGGTGGCCGGGCAAACATTTGCCACCCAAGTTGCCAGATGAGTAAGTATTTAGATGGGAGGCTTTATAACTCTTTGGCTTTTATCGGTCAATCATGATTTTTCTCTAAAGAAAATTAGGGTTGTGTCTTCTGAGTGGAGTAACTTTGTTTCAAATGTCCTACACTTCTCCATATGTATTCCATCACACATCATGAAAGAAACTTTTTTACATTGCAACATCGCCTAAATCGACACACCCTCAATGTCCAGAACATTTGAGGGGGAGAGAGGGGGGAAAGGGGGGAGTGAGACAGGGTTCCCCATATTTCATTTCTTAGAATGAAAACATGTGTGCTACTGTATTCGCTTACAACCATGTGACCACAAACACACATGTTAATGCTAATGCACACATGATCATCCCAGAGCAGCATGGAAACACGGTGTACAGTACATGCATGCAACACCTATGATATCACCAAACTAAATTAGGTTCAATTATTAATGGTGCATATTAGCTAACCAAAAGTTACTGCAGTCCTAGAATCATTTAGGAAGGTGTTAGAGAGGTGGATGAGTATCCATCACAAATCAGGCTTTCCATGATTAACTAAAAACAAAAACAGATGCAAACTTACTTTAAATTACATTACCGGTTTGGTATTAGCTTTCCAAAATAGTTGATTCATCCTATAACCTCAACTGAGATCTCTCAAAATGTAAACATTCAGTACATTACAAAGTCCCTGTTGCAGTAAGTCCATTGCATCTAAAACTCATTAATTGCACAGTTTTGAGCTCTGCTAACAAGATCATCTTTATATGAAACTACAATCTACAACAAAGAGTGCTGTGACCCTTGTGCATGCAGGGCTCAGTGGCTCTCCAGATGTGAGAGGTGCAGTCAGATCTTACCTGGGGTCTGCGGGGCCACAGCTCCACTCAGAGCCCACAGGGACAGCAGCAGCAGTGCACAGTCCATCCTTGAAGCCAGGACTAAGACGATATGAGGGAGGGACGGGAGACACAGGATTTTTAAAGAAGGGGGAACAAAGGGTGGGAGGGAGTGGGGGGTGAGAGAGAGCCAGGGAGGGGGAGAGAGAGGGGGGAAAGAGGGTACAGCCCAGGAGCACACATCTGGTTCGCGTTGGGGAGGATAGAATCAAGGAAAATTCCAGCCTGAAGGACCTTTCCCCCATTTCTGTTGAGATAGAAGATTAATGACGTCCCTGTTGCCCCCACCCCAACCCACCCCACCCTCTCACACAATCAACAAACAGAGGTAAGCAAACAGGAAATGCTAACAACAATGGTGGACTTTACCTGATGTCATGAAGGCACCATTTGCTCGACTATGCTTCCAAACATGCAGCCTGATATCTTCATTTCTTTAGTTGTTGTTTAGGCCCTTATAAACACGTTTACTTTGTAATCTTTTTAAACATAAGTGGACTAACTCAGCTGTGTTCAAAGAATAATGCATTGAGTGACTCTTTTTAGATTTTTTGATTAAGTAAAATACTTCCGAAATGTCAAAGGGCGGAAGAATTGCCTTTGTTTGGCAATAATTCATGTTTAGACTGCTTTGCCTATCAAAGGAATGTACACAATGTGAACAAACAGGGAGGATATCAAAACAAGTAGTCTGGGGACATTTCACCACATATTATCAGGCCTAAGTTGATAAATGGATTAGTAGTCCTCCTGAAATGTGACCTTTGTTGCCGATTCTCCTGATCAAAACTGGCCTTTAATTCAACATGCAAGCAAACAAAGCAGATAAGAGTTCAATCATCTTGAAACACAATTACACTGCGATGACAGAGACAAGAGCAGCAGCACTGAATGAGAACAATCTTTTATTGGTGTTTTTGGAAAAATCTCAACTACATCCGAATAACCAGCACTGTGGGCCAACATGGACACCACTGATGCAGCAGGGAAGTTGTAGTTCAATTAGAGTCACTAAAATATGTTTTAACCACATCTGTGAGGATATTAGAGACTAGATCCTGTTGGGAGAGCAAACAATCACTGACTGAGGTGATAAAGGCTGAAATAAACAAACAAGGAGCATATTGAAAGTGTGCATAGTCCGTACACTGCCGGGGAACCGAAGAGGTCATCACGAAAGGTAAAGTAATGAATGTCATATTCAAGTTATCGAACCACGCTTGTGAAGTCCATGGTCAAAGAAACCTAGGTGGCAGTAGTGTCCGTAGAGTAATGTCTGGAGGTCGGAGACAGAATGCAAATAGCTGAGCGAGGTTTTTTTTCTCCATTTGAATTGTCTTTCTTAGGAACACTGAAGATCAAAGATGTTTCAAATTGCAACAGATCATCGAAAGAAAGAAAATCATTCAATAATATAGAACAGCAACAACAAAAGGGATAATCATTATAATCACAATAATAATAATAATAGCAGTAATCGTTACTATTCATCATGGTCATTGAGGGGAATAAAATCACACCATTACTAGTCATCCCTCCCCACAACATAACATAGTGTACCATGCCCCCTGTGAAGGTGTTGTGGATGCACAGAGATGTTTTTAGATACAGTAAAAAGTAAAGAGTAATAACAGGAGTAAACAGTAAGGAAGGAGCATTATTGAAATAGCACTAAATACCAACAAGCTTGTGTGGATCAAGATAGAACATTTTGGCTTGTATTTCTCCCAGGAATCTGAGAATTTAGCTCCATTCCACTCAATGGGGGTTTCAACCCATCTCCTGGAATACATCAAATACACAAAACAGTATAGGCCTATCCAATATACAACAACCTTTCTCCCCCTATATTAATGCTGATTAAAGTGTGTTCATGAAGAACAGTAAAGTAACGAAGTGCGTTTTACAGGGCAGATTGATACTATTTCAGAGTACAATACAACACTGAGATATAACTGCTCTATGTACCGCAGCAGTACAAGAGAAACTCAGGGATAAACTGTTATGGGAAGAGTTTGCACGTAACTGTAAGAGGATTGGTTATAAGTGAGAGCAGAAATAGAGAAGTAGGATATAGAAACAGAGGAAGAGAAATGTCCCGTCAATTCAAAAGAGAGGATGAAGAGGGAGAATAGAAACCTGGGGCACCACAACAGGCTTTTTAGCAGTTTATCTGAGATACAAGACACCAGAGTAGATTAAAAGCACTCCACTGGGATAGAGAAAAGTGGATGTGGTCAAAGATACGAGTATGGACTGGAGAAAGATGTACCAATTGCATGAAGCTCAAAGTACAAAGAACTTATATTGTTAGGGAACTCAAATATTTATATATATATATATAATAAAAGGACTCACAAGACAATGTTGATAGTGCAGGACTGTTTACATGGTGTCCGCCTTGTCCCTTATGTTGCCTCCCTCTAGCATGCCCCTCCCCAGTGATAGAAATAAAACAGGAAACAAATTAAGTGCTTGAATAAAATCCACAAAAATGTTGAACTATACGATTATAAGATACTTTTTGCTCTCTATATTACAATTGTTACACACGTCCTTGCCCCTGCTGCTGCATCCTGACTAAAGTAATCAAGACGAAAAATACCCATCGATGGCTGACCACCTGTTAAACATCTCCTGACTCATCTATAATAAAAAGATATTTACCATAGCTTTCCCCCCGTCTCTATGTAGAAAATATACAAAATTATCCTCCAAATTTGCTCACCCTATAATTTTTCGTAAGTATTATAAAAATATACAATTCTCCAATAACAAAACTCTTAAAAGTCACATCTCTTCATCTGTTAAATTACTCTCTCCACCTTTCACTTTTAAGAGCTGACACCTCAACAAAACAAGACACCTGAGCTTCGATACACAAACCTTCTCCTTGTCTTCTACATTCATCATCATAATCATCTTCCTCATCATCATCACCCTTGCTTGACCCAATTCTGTCCAATGTGCCACCCCTAAAAAGTCATAAATGTTATCCAGGTTATATTCCTCCTCTTCCTGATTTAGCTGCACGCCTTCATCACTGGTCAGAGAGGCGGTTCTCGTATTTACTAAGGATGCTGCGACAGCGGCCAAGCTCCTTTCGGATCTCCGCCACTTCCTGTCGGAGGGTGGCGTTCTCTCTCTCCAGGTAGGCGGCACGAACAGATATTTGGTTCTCCTTATGACGGCGAGCATCTCGAGAACGCTTTGCTGCTTCATTGTTTTTATACCTTCTGCTCCAGTACTTATCATCCTAAAAGAGGACAGACAAAAGAAGCACACATGGATTATTTATCTGCCAGTGTGTTCCCATAAGATTTACTTTTCTTGATCAGAGAACTAAGATAGTATTAGGTAGAAGATGTTCTATAAAATAATCAATGAATGGTCCGAGTGGTTTCTTAAGAAGTGTGCTGTACAGTCTATTCTGCTATTGTGATGTGGGTGTTTGGCCATGAATGAGCGTGGGACTTGTTCCTTTCAGATGCTTCATCCTCAGTTGTGTTAATATTATGTATGTTGTGTATATACCATGTTGTTGCTCTGGTGTTTGTTACTATCCTGCATCTTTGATTTGTAATTCTTATATTATGAAAAGTGCTAAATATTAGCCTGGACCAAGACCAAGAAAGTGCTTATTTATGCAAGAGTTCCTCAAGGTTGTCATTTCAGCTCTTATATTATTAACAATTAGTCTTTAGAAAGAAAGCAGATAATCAATTAATTGTACATGGCCATTATGAAGTATGCATAATTGGTAGCATGCATAGTATATAAGGAACTGGATCTAAGATTCTCCAGTGTGAGGATTTGGTGCATTGCTCTTTTCATCATTGTTAAGAATGGGGCTGCTGCTGGTTTGACAAAAGGGGCAATCTGAAGACGTTCCCTGACACTGTGTAAGACACATTTGTACGTCTTGTTTTGGAATTACAATCAAGACTTAATACAAATGATGTATGGCTTCAAATAAGCTAATCATAGCCTGATATGACCTCCCTCCCGAGGTCCACCGCTGCTCTGAGTTTGCAGTCAGACTTCAGACTCACCTTCATGCCGTCGGGCACCAGGATCTTGCGGGCCTTCTTGATCATGGGCTGTGGCTTGAGCTCCTCTTCACTGAAGGAGTGCCTCCTGGGGTCGTAGTTCGGCTGGCCAGACATATCCATGTCCGAAGAATCCATGTCAAACATCCCCTGCCCATCGGGTCCGCTGTCCGTGGGCTCGAGCAGAGGAGGACAGGAGGACGAGGAGGAAGAACAGGGAGACTCACAGGAGTCGTTCATACTCGTCTGACTCCCTGCAATTAAAAGGGATAACACATGTTTTAAATGCTGTTCACTGAACGACACCTATACTGAAATGTATAATACTGTCAAGCTTTAATACACCAGTTTATGACCACTAAGACAGCAGTGCAAACACATGCAGCATTTCATCACAACCACCACCAGGTGTCAGCAGAGAGCTTCCCTCTTCCTGTTATAAACAACAAACAACATTCCTGTGCCCTTAACCAAAGAGCTGAGGATGTTTTTTAACAGCTTTCAGGGACAGTGAGGTTCTCAGGGACAATGTAATCTTGAGAGGATACTCTGGGAAGACACACGACAAATACATACATTATATAACACATATCAGTTGAAGCATACATTCATAATGGAGCTAGAAGATGTAGTTAGAATAACTGTCAATTAAAATGGCTAGGTTTTGCATTTGCATTTGGAACATTTTATCTCTACCTGAACTGTTTTGGTGAGGACTGAATACTAATATTGTTGTTTTTATTACAAATATGCAAACTATCAATGATAAAACCCTAATACAAATGGTTATTAGGTATCTCAATAGTTAACATTTCATTGAGCTGACACTTTTATCCAAAGCAACTAACAATAAATGCATTCAAGATTCATGAAGATACTCAAAAGCAAGAATCCTGCAGATACATTTCCTATCTATAAACCCAACCAGATTAAGTTGTAAAAGCTGCACTTAAACCAAATCTTTTGTAAGTGGCACATACAGAAGATGTTTTATTTGTATTTTGTATCTCTCATTGAGTGCACTACTCTCCTGCTCAAACAGAAGTGTCACTA